AAACAGACAAAGGTACATATAAACAGGGAATATTTTTTTCGCGAAACTTGAATTGCTTCTTTGTCACCATTTCTAAATACCTATCGTAATTAGTGCTGATCAAGTTTGTAATCTATCAGGCATCACTTATGTTTTTCGGTCGGCACATTCACAGGAAGGCTGGTGCTCAGTCCACATTCGGATGCCATGAACAGAAACTTCTACTTTCATGTTCAGTCACACACGTGTACTGTCATAACTTCGTTATCCATACCCTCTTATCTAGCCCGGAAATACTCTTCCATTATTTTCACCTAACTATCTCCTACGTGTTACGTTTTTGATTTTTGATGTTATTTCACCTAGGTCTGTTTCGCGCGGCCGTCCCAAGCGGAGCATCAACTGGTGTGCATGAAGCTCTTGAGTTGCGTGACACCAACGCAAAGGCTTATATGCGCAAAGGTGTCTTGACAGCGGTCATAATGTGAATAAGATTATTGCTCCAGCTCTACTGAGCAAACAAATTCCTGTTACTGACCAAGCGGCTATTGACAAATTAATGATTGACCTGGATGGTACGGAAAACAAGGGTGAGTTTTCCAAGTAACTAATCGATCGTATATTTCATTTAAAATCGTTTGTCTCATACAACCGTAGTTGTATTTAATGATGTGCTCCAGCTTCTCATAGAAAGGGGTTTATTTTTGTCATTGTATAACTATTCTTAGAACTCTGAGTGTTAGGCTTGGTAAGCCAAAATTACTGCCGGAAATGGAATAACTAGGCATGCTTTGAACCGTTGTCTTCAGTCTGAACACGTGCTATCCAGACTTAGATAATCAGTGCACGATTGTGTTCTGTGGCTAACTGAATCTCTAAACTGCGATGGCGTCCGTATCTACTAAGTCTTTGATTTGCGTCAGTTGGTATCAACATTCTTTTGCCTAACTGCTTCCCACTGTTATTTGGGACTATGCGTTACAACGATCATGGAGGAAAGTTCAACTTGAAACAGATGGCTAGGTAATTTGATCATCCATCTTTATTTCTTATGAACTGTAATTATTTAAAACGCGTTAGCATACACCATTTTGTCATAAACTCGTAAGCTGTTCAGTTTAGCGGTTTACTCATTGTCAGGACTTGCAGGATTTCCCTGAAATACTGAAGGGGGAACTTTGTAAATCCATCAAAGTCAATCAACCAATCAAACAGTATCAACATAAGACCAGACATTACTGCGTAACGGTCCGAGTTGCCACAGCTCAGTACACTACGTCAAGTGGAAAGGTAGTGGGTGAAAGATGAAGATACAAGAATGCAGTCAGAAAAAATAATAAGTACAACAAGAAAGAAAAGAGGAATGACAAAATGATGAGATTCGGTATAGCGTTGTTAAGATGATAATGTGTGTATACGTATGCGCCACTGATATCGGTTCTGAGCCATATCCCCTAGAGTCTCCAACCACTGGTTCCTCTTATCCCACACACCCCAACCACCTAGTATGCATCGCCCCACATGGCTCAAACCAACAGTCAGAGACTTCATACATTGGTGCCATGTTTTAGTCTGGCCATCTCGGGCCTTTTTCCAGTCTGGACCTACTTCGGCCAACATTGTGTGACGAGGCAATCGGTGACTGGACATACGTAGTACGTATCCCAACCACCTCAATCGATGAAGGTTCATAACCTCGTCAACTGATATACCTCTGCTCCCTAAAACTCTATACCTGACGTCTACGTTACGTGGTGACACCACAGAATACGTCCTATATTACGAAGGCAACGGTGATCAAACACTTGAAGCCTTCTCATATCTTCCAGTTTCAGTGGCCATGTTTCACGGTCATACGAAAGAATAGAGGGGACCGCTGTGCAATACACGTGATCCTCAATAGACAAACGGATATCACGGCGGCGCCATACGTGGCGCAAATTGGCAAAAGCCAATCGAGCCTTTTTTATCCGTGCAGAAATCTCATCGGCAACTAACCCACCAGGGCTGATCCTACTTCCCAGGTAAGTGAAGTGGTCAACACACTCAACCACTTCACTCTCTATTGTTAGCCGCGGTGGGGCACCGTTGAAGACCAGTCCTGGAGCAAAAATTTGCATTTGGGTGGTGAAAATCGCATCCCAAACATTCTCAAATTCCCACTCAAAGTGTTCACAAGACTCTGCATCTTGTCAGCGTCTTCACTTAACAGGACTATGTCATCTGCAGACTCTAGATCTAAAGAAAATTCACCTGTGATTAAGTCAACGTCTGTGTAATCAGGTGACGAGAGGGAAAACACCATAAGAATATCTATGATAAAATTAAATAAGAATGGGGATAGTGGGCACCTTTGACAGACACCACTTGATGAGTATAGCTCCCTGGACAACTCGCCATAGGCTCTAACATGCCCACAAGTGTTCGAGTAGAGAGCTTTCAATAAGGTGATGTACTTACTAGGCACGCCTTTCAGTGACACACTGCCATAAGACTTCTCGATCAACAGAGTCAAATGCCGCCTTCAGGTCGAGAAATACAGCTATTGTCGGGCGTCTGTAAGCATGTCTATGTTCCAGGACCTGGGGCAGTGTGAATATTTAGTCGATACACCCGCGGCCGGGTCTTGAGCCTGCTTGGTTTTCTCGGGTCTGCTTTTCCCAGCTCCACTCAGGCGTCCGAGAATTATAGACCTTAGATTTTGGATACTATGTTCATCAGGCTGATTCCTCTATGGTTATCACAAGAGGACTTCTCGCCTTTCTTGAAGACTGGGATGATCAGTGACTTAGACCAGTCGGAGGGGATCGTATTTGATTCCCATATACTGGCTAACACTTCCGTTAACCTGACTAAGAGCACTCTACCACCATTCTTGTATACCTCAGCAGGTAGTCCGTCTGGTCCTGCTGCCCTTCCCCGTTTCAGGCTACCTACCGCCTCCTCAACTTCTTCTAGTGTTGGGGGACCTATCTCTATTCCTCATTCAGGACCAGACTGGAATGCGGGCAACGAAATGGTGGCTGAAGGTTAGTTAAACTGTTCCTCGAAGTGTTCTGCCCATTGTTCCAGTCGTCTCCTCTGTGAGTGAATCGCAGATCCGTCCTTAATCCATCAAAGAGGTCAGGTGCCTCTTAACTTCCCAGAATCATAACTAACAAACCCTGTACAGTCATTAAAATCTCATAGCTTATGCCAATAGAAGCAGTGCATAGTGCTCTGACTTTAACTGAATAACTGCATAAGCTTATCAGTGCACGACTCTGCGTCTTCTCATTGCCTCACACGACTAGATTCAGTACATTGTGCCCGAGCTGTCGTTTAAAATGAACCATGCTGCGCAGTGAAAAAGGCGCATGCACGTTCTCACTACTTGTTGCTTCGTAGTGCGGTTTTTGTTTAGTTTCTTTTGACGTTCTCCTGGTTTAAAACATTTTCATTATCTAATATTTCAGAAAAACTTGGGCAAATGCTATTCTGGGTGTATCTTTGGCTGTGTGCAAAGCAGGGGCAGCTGAAGCTGTAAGTTGTAATCTTCAGTACTCATCTTTTGCAAACATTAACAATTTTTTCCTATACCAGGTCTAATATTTGACACTTAGTGCGCGAACATTATTTCAGTGTTCGTTGTTTTAGATTTTTGTGTCACGAATTTCTTAGTAATTGTCTCTCAATCCCTTGTTTTTAGGGTCTACCACTTTACAGGTATATTGCGAAATTGGCTGGCAATACAGATGTAATAATGCCGGTCCCGGCATTCAATGTTATAAATGGTGGTAGTCATGCGGGCAATAAACTAGCCATGCAGGAATTTATGATTCTGCCTACTGGCGCTAGTTCTTTACCGAAGCAATGCAAATTGGTACCGAAGTGTACCATAATCTGAAGGCTGTTATCAAACGTGACTATGGACTCGATGCATGCAACGTGGGCGACGAAGGCGGTTTTGCCCCTAATATCCAAGACAATATGAAAGGTGAGCATATGAAGTGTTCCTGTTCTGCGATGAATTTTTATTCCTTATCCCCTTATATTTCGCAACTTACCTTGTTCAAAAAAAGCTACTAACTAATGAGATTGGTAATTCCGCATCTCTTTCGCTACAGCTTTTGCTGGGAACTGTTATCTGTTCCTGGCTAAAAACGACGTGTTGACGTCTATGGCAACTTCGCACTGTGCGGGTTTATGTACTAGGTTATGAACCATACGATATCTAGGTTTGGAAAACTACTCATCACCCATGTCATTTTAGGCGAAGCTGAGATTGAACATGAGGCTTATTATGTGAAATTTAGGTACTCAGGCTTATGAACCACATTTGTAGTGGAATGGGTGAATTCATTGCGTCTAATGAAAGTGCTGTTCACTTTCCAATGGTGTTTCTAAGTTTCTGGCTGGCCTACAGCTTTACATAGTTTAGGGACTCATTATTAGGAAGTGTGGTCATAAGCGAGGGTTAGTTTTACTTTAAGAACAGTTGAGGTGTTTCTTACACTACTCGTGCACCACTAGCTACAACATGCAGTCATATAAATAAACTTGACAATTGTTAGCGAGTGGTGATGGTCAATACTTCAAAGATTAAATCCTTAACTTAGTTATCCCAAAAGCCCACAGGATTGTGGCTTTAAAATCTCGTATGCGGTAAGCTACTTATTCTGACCCTTATTTTAGCGGAGAGTCAAAGCCAAAAATTTCAGGATGGTCAGTTCACTTGGAGACGAATTATTTCTAAGGCTGCATTAGTTTAGTCCTTTTGGCATAGTAGCAAGACCTGATTATTCTTCACGAGGTAATTGTGTGCAGAATTTCTCTTAAAATGGGTTTGAAAGTCAACATAGTTTTTTAAGCGGTCACATCATATAATTAGCCTTCACATTAGATGCCACACGGACCTGTACTTGCTTGCCTCCACTTATTATATAGTCCTTGTTTGTCTGTAAAATATTTGCACTCCTGCAATCTTTTATTTTTCTCTAGGTCTTCAACTTCTCGAAGAGGCTATTAAGATTGCAGGATACTCTGGGAAGGTAGAAATCGGAATGGATTGCGCTGCTTCTGAGTACTATAAAAATGGAAAATATGATTTAGACTTCAAGAATCCTCAGTCTCCAGAAAATACGTGGCTTACCCCAGATGCAATGGCTGATGTCTACAAAGAGATGATTGATAAATACCCAATTGTTAGCATTGAAGATCCATTTGATCAAGATGACTGGGAAGCCTGGCCTAAATTGACTGCTTCAACTCATATTCAGGTAAATACGAGTCAGCGCTAGTTTTTTTAGCCGTACGTTTAAAATGTGTATCGAGTCTGCGAGTTTGGGAAAGATTGTTCGTGCACCAATTCTCCACCCATTCACAGTTTTATCTGCTTTTATACTATTTTTCATATCACCTCATTGCAGATTGTTTAAAAGTGACAGCTGGTGCTTTTCAGTGTAAGGCTCTGCGATCGTTTGTAACCATGCGATTGGTATTAAGCATTTCATAACATCATTGAAACTGCATCATTTTGATCCAGCGTTTCAACGTAAATCACAGTATACAATTAGTATTTTGATAAAAGGCTTTGGGTGTGACTCAATAGTTTAAGTACTTGAATGTCAAATACCGTAACAGACTACCGTCTGCACTGACTTGTGCTACACGTGACGTTTGGCATATCTCATAGAACTGAAAAAATATGTAGGAACTGGTGGGTTCCTTTTTTTAGCCGTGATATTTCAGTGTTCGTCAGCTGACTGGGATTTCTTTGCCTTTCGGCTACCGCAATTACAGGTTGAAAGACCTATTATTCATGTACAAAGCTATCAGGATAGTGCCTCATTTGTTTGCATACCTCAAACGGATGTAACTTATCTGCTTCTGCTGTTTTTAAACCAGCGATTGTTATCTCATTTGCACTTGCTTTCCTTACTACTAATACTGATATGTAAGCAGAGTTTTTCTAATCTCAGTAGTGTTCTACTTCAATATGAATTTATATCTGGAAGAATATCCATTTTTCAGATTGTTGGAGATGACTTGACAGTTACCAATCCAAAACGAATTCAAAAAGCAATTGGTGCTAAGGCCTGTAATTGTCTACTTCTAAAAGTAAACCAAATAGGTTCAATTACCGAGTCTATCGAAGCTTGCAGGTTGGCACAAAAAGCAGGTTGGGTGTTATGGTTTCACATCGCTCAGGTGAAACAGAAGACAACTTCATCGCCGATCTAGTCGTTGGTCTTTGTACTGGACAGGTATGTTCTTCACTTGTTTTACCATATTAAAGTTACTGGTCCTCTGTTGAGAGGTACTGATTAAATTAAGTAACTGCAAAAATCAGGATGTTTGTTGCTTGTGTTGTGGATAAGTGTCAGTTCGAATCTCCACTAAAACCTGATCATCATGGTACTCATTTTTTGATCAGATGGTAGACAAGGTTACTGTCAAATTGTGATGAATAATTAAAGTTTGTCGTGTCCGCTTGCGATGTAACCATTTATTAGAATGACAATGAGTAGTAAGATACCAGAAGTAGAAGTATTGTTTTTATGATAGTATTTTTAGGTAGTTTCAACTGTCAACTTGACGGTAAATTATAAAACCAACTCCTCCCCACTCAGCAAAGTGTCATGTTGAACGAGCTGTAAACCACTTTGATTTTTCATTTCACACGAGAGACTATTATTAATTGTCCCTTGGGTTCCTAATGAAACAGGGCTTCAGCAGCACGTCTCCAATGCGCTCTGTTCTCTGAAATTATTTGAACCTGGCTCCACAACAACCCACGAGCTCTCATTCCCTCACACGATCTCCTCCATGTCACTCTCGGATGCCCAACACGTCGTTTCCCCTTCGGATTCCACTCGATGGCCTTGCCTGGCGCGTGATGTCCCCGAATGGTCTTCTCAGTCTATGTCCAATCCAATCCAATCCATCTCCACTTTCTTCTGCATATTTGTTGGGTGATAGGTTCTTGGTTGGTTCGTTCCCGGAATGGGTTCCCTGTTGCTTACTCTTATTATTCTGGCCATTTGATCTTCAGCATCAAGTGAGCGTGGGCAGCAGGTGTTGATGACGTATGTCTGCAGTTTTTTGGAAATGCTTTTCGTGACGCGCCAAGTTTCTGAACCATAATACAGAAGCACTGACTCTACTGAATTAGTGTCGAACATCCGAATAATGTTCACGCTTTATGCTGAGGACAATAAATCTACACACTGAGTATTTCGGACTAATGAAGGTCTGTCTTGCTGTCTTTCCGATCCTGCCTTTGGCGTCCTCGTCTATGCCCCCTCTAGTTGAAACAGTGCTGCCGAGATAGGTGAAAGAGGCTACTTCCTTTCAGTTTCTCCCGTTGATGGTGATTAGTGCCCCTTGTTGTTGATGCCGTTGTTGGTTGCGTATCTTCATCACCTCCGTCTTCTCTACATTCACTTGAAGTCCTGTTTTCGTCACCTTGCCTCTTCTGTCAACTTGTTAGTTTTCGCCAGTAGATTTCGAGTTTGTGCGACATTAGACATAAATGACCATCAGCGAAATCCAAATCTTCTTCTGTGGTCTTCTAATCGGTGAAGCCAGCGTATGCCCAACTACTCGCTCCTCACAGTTTCTTGCATGATCCAGTCCACTCCAGTCGACTACAATCAGGATGATCATCGGTGATAGTAGGAAACCTTGTGTAACTCATGTCCCCTGTCTTCACTTCAAAAGCATCACTGAGATCCCCATTGTGGATCACTTGGCATGTGGCCTCTTCATATAGCTGTTGAATGAGGCTGATAAAGATTTGTGGCACTGAAAGCGTAGTGTTGAAGCAGCTGCCTGCCAAATTACTTCCCGGTCGACGCCAACAAGGACCTTTTCAAAGTCGATGAGGTTGAGTTGAGCTGAGTTGACTGCTATTCTATGCTCTGTTCTATGATGATGCGTGGCGTGGCGTAGCGTTGCAATTCGATCTGCACATGATTTGCTCTTCCTGAAACCAGCCAGCCTGTCTCGGTCGTAGTTTTGAATCCAGTGCATCCTTTAATCTCTCTCTCCAGGATGATACGGCTTAATATTTTGCTTGGGGTGGAGAGGATCGTGATTCCGCAACAATTCTTGTGAAGACGTAGGTTGCGCTTCTTTGGGAGTTTGACAAGGTAGACCTTCTTCCAATCAATCCACAGGTACCTTTCCTTCCTTCCCTACAAACCTTCTGCAATAGTGGTGTGGTGTGAGCATGCCCTCTGTTGTCTCTGCACCTGTTTTCAGTGCTTCTGGTGGAATTCCATCTGGTCCTGCTGCTTTCCTGAATTTCATTAGCTTTATGGCGTTAACGACCTCACTTCTGCTTTTGTCGGAGGGCTTATATTTACTGGTAGTTCTGTGGCTGCATGTGGTATTTCTGGACGAGTTGAATGTGGTGGTGGTGGTGGTGGTGGTCGATTCAAGAGCTTTTCGAAGTGGTCGGCCGATCGTTTCCTTAGTTTCTCCCCTTTGGTGGTAACTGGCTTTCCATCACTATCTTTCATTGGTTTCGTCTGAGTTGATCTCTTACCTCCCGAATAGTAACCTGGTTATTTGAAATAATCTTCTCAGGTCTCAGTCTCTCCTACCTACAGCCTGTTCTGCTTGACTTGCCAATGTGACGTAGAAGTGTCTTTTGTCTTTCTGCGCACTCTTCTTCACCTCTTCCTCTAGTGTTTCACACGTTGTATTCAGTTCTTCTTTTCGTTGTTCATCCCTGCACTGCACAGCTTCACCATCTTCCTCTCCCTCTCCCTCCTCTATCAGCTTCCATGTGTCCGTCGAGATCCACTCATTGTCCTGTCTTGTTTCTCCTTCCTTCTTAACACGGTTATGTGGGTTTCTTTCCACGTCTCTTTCAAAGAATTCCAGTGTTCTTCCACGCAGGTTTCTTCAGGGATGTTGCTTAGTGTCTCCCATTTCTTCCTGATGGCTGACTGGCGTGAAGATGTCCTTTGTGGTTTCGTCATGCAGTCCAGTTTCTGTTGTGGGTGTTGAACATGAACTGCGGTCTATCAACAGCTTCCTTGAAGGCTTTTAACTTGATTTGGAAGGTGGGTTCCTTGCACTAGATAGTGGTCGGAGCCTACATCTGCTCCTCTTCTTGACGTTGTGTCAAGTAGACTGCGTCTCCACTTTCTTCAGATTGGAATGAAGTCGACCTGATTTTTAGTGTAGTGTGTCCATCTGGTGAACTCCATGTCGCTACCTTGTGAATATCCTTGTGTTTGTACACACTGCCTGACCTCCAATCACCAAATCGTTGAATGCACAGAAGTCTGCAAACAGTTCTCCATTCTCATTGACCATTTCACTGATTGCCTTTCGACCCATGGTTAGTTCTCTTCTTGTGTTGTGTGCTCCGAGTTTGGCATTCATGTTGCCCATTAGAATTTTGATATTGCCAACTGGGGTCATGTCCAGTGTTGATTGCAGTTGTCTGTAGACTTCCTCGTTTTTCTCTTGCTCTGCATAATTTGTAGGTGCATAGCGTGGCGTTGTATGATTGTGACTTTGCTTCCTTCCTTTTGAGTTGAATCTTGCTGTCGTGACATGATCCTGGAGGAGACAGGCTCCCACTGCATGAGAGAGAGCCTTCGCTGTCCTTGTGAGGGGACATCATGATAGCCACTTTGAAACTCAGTGTGCTCGTCGTTGTCGTCTTGGTGACAATATCGGAGTAGATTATTAACTCTCCAGTTGACAGTTTGGAGAGTCCACTTCCATTCCATCTACTTTCACAGATTCCAAGCACTTCCATGCCATCCATACCTCTTTATCTCGTTTGCAATCTGGACTGCTCTGCTGGGTTCAAACATGGTGCGGAGATTCTATGTCCCCATCCTTACTTGCACTTTCACTTTCATCGAGCGAGAGGAGACACATCGGCCGACTGGCTTCTTGAAGGCTTTCACCAACCGGCGTCATTTCATCTCTCCGATTCCAGCAAGGAATAAGTTTGTTTTTATTTTTTATAATTTCTTTGTGGCTTGAAGTTTCTTTAGGGATTGGATTAGTTTTACGGTGTAGGGTTGCTAACCCTATGTCCAAGCTTCCCTCTTTACTCAGGGTTAGGACCGGCTAGTAACTAGTGAACTAGTTAACCAAGCGAGTTTGAGAGAGTATGGCAAATAATAATGATAAATTAACCGTCATACACCTTTTATTCCACTTTTAATCTGGTTACTATTTCTTGAACCTTGCAGATTAAAACCGGTGCTCCGTGTCGATCGGAACGTCTCGCAAAGTATAACCAGCTCTTGCGTATCGAAGAGGAATTGGGAACAGCAGCAAAATATGCTGGCAAACATTTCCGTCATCCGAAATAAACAGTTCGACAGTGCAATGAATTTCTCAAATGTCTTCTGAAGAACTAAATTGTTCTAGTTCATTTCGCTTTTCATGTCATGTAGACGTACCATTTAAATATAGTCTATTTCGATTTTCCTTCACTTTTGCAAATCGCTTCAACTAATTTGATATAGGCTTTGATGCTTTAAGAAGCTAGTGTCTGGAAGTTGAATTTCTCAGTATGAGATATGGTTGAGGTTACTTTCCTGCCTAAAAGTTGACGCACTTAACCGTAGTAGCAGAAAAGGCGTTATCAAAGAAAAGTGAGCGATCTGAAGTTGAAGGTTAGTGCGTATAATAAATCTATAAATGTTAACGGGTGAATACGTCCGGGCCACTGTAATGGGACTACCAGCCATTCCACCAGTGTTACTTTTCGACTTTCACTGCTATCAGATCTTGGTGTGGCCAGCCTGAACCTCTTTCAGCCTTATCCATCTTCCCCTAGCATGGCACGTCGAGGTAGGCGGTGGCTTGGCGTACGCAACATATCCAAGCCACAGCCGATGAAGGCTCAACCTCATCAATCGTCTTGCCTAGCACCCTCCGCCGTATATCAACATTACTCACAGTGATTCCAACCAACATGAGCAATGCTATGAAGACACCTGTGGTCAAGAACCTGTAATTGGTTCATGTCTTCTACTTATAACAGTCGTATAACAGCAGAATGAACTGAAGCGCAGTATACTCATGCTTTGGCAGGAAGTTGGATATCTCACCAGTCGGTGCCTCAGGTGATGCAAGTCGGCAAGTGCCAAACAAACCTTCTGTATCAGAGCTGTGATTTCAACGGTAACCAGCCCATTTGGTCTGGTTAGTGAATTGATCGACACAGTCCACTACACCCTAAACTAGGAGCACTCGCACACCAGTCCTGGAGCATCATCCTACATTTGACTGGTGTACTCCAATATCTACCCGACGCATTCTGAAGACCGTGCATTTTTTCAGCGTCTTAGCATCACAATATTGCGTGCATCGTCAAAGTCAACCATATGCCCTCTCCAGGGAGTAGATCAATCCGTTAGAAGTCAGAGGTAACTAAGGTTACGTCTTTAGAGTAATTGAACGGGAAAGGTGACAGCATGCCTGAAGAAAACCACAAGTCTTTAATTCAGGTGTCAACTCATTGTAAACTGAAGCATGACTGACTACGAGTAGAGAGCCTTGATTAAGTGTTATGTGCTTGTGCGGTACTCCCTTCTCAGTCAGACACTGACACAACACCTCAATGTGGCCTTCAGGTAAAGAAATACGGCAAGTGTCGAACTCCGGTGTGTCTGCTACCTAGCTTGACGAGAAGTGAAAATCTGTTGGGTAGGTTTTCGTGCAGGTTTGAAACCCGGCTGGTATCTTCGAGCTCCGGTTAGGCGTCGGATAAATGTTGACCTAGAGATCTCGAACATGATGTTAGACTAGTTTTCCTATGGTTGTCACAAGATTTCTCTCCCTCCTTATGGACTGGAGTGACCAGTGAAGTAGACTAGTCTGACAAGACTAGCTCTGATTCCTATGCGCTCTTCAGTGCCGCCATCACTAACAGGAAATTCCGTACCTCCTTAAAACTTCGAGTTTCAAATTGCCAGGTCTACTGCTTTGCATCGTTTCAGGTTCGACACAGCCTTCCCAACTTCGACGAGAGTCGGAGAACGCGTACCCACATCCCATTCAGGTCGGATGCTGGGAAAATGAAGGATTATTGTGGGCTCATTGTACTTTGCATCAAAGCGTTCCGGCTGACGTTCTAGCCGTCTGTCCTAGGAGGTTATCAGCGTCCGACCCCTCTGGGTGATGGTTACACTAACTATCATCTAAGTTTTACCAGTATCCTTAATAAGCTTAAGTGGTTGCCGGGTGTTACAACGCTGATGGTTACTCCAGCATTTTGGCTTCTGCCACCCGTCATTGGTTGCGATCATTGGAAGACTCTAGGTCAATCTACGTCTAAGCTGCTTTCGCTCCTCCTTTCAGTTAGACCCATTTGGGATCAGTTTCTCGCACCAACCAGTTCGGATGACGTAGAAATCTCATAACGTCAGTTAACCTTCAACTGTGGGCTACCAACTGTTTTAACTGTTATTCCTGCAGCAGGCTTAACATCATGCCAGGTCTCCTCAGAATAAGTACTGCTGTGATGTGCAGATTAATGTTTGGCTACCGTCTCCCTAAATGTATATTTGGCGTCCTTATCTACGATTCGAGCACAGATAGGGCTCACCACCTGTTTCCTCCGACGAGTAAGGCGCAGACATATAGAAGCCCGTACTAGCGTGTGATTCCAGTCGAAACTGGTACTCTAGAAAGAGCGGTAATCCTTCATAGGTCCTCCAACGACGGCTCATAACAGTATAATCCGTCTGTGTTGGTTCAACGCATTACTTATTTCAGGTTTTTATAATAACTGCACTCATATGGTGACGTAGTTCTTGTGCTTTGAAAACCTAATTTTATCCTTGAAAATGTTTCAGTTCAATTGAATCTCTAGACTGTCGATAAGGAAGTTCATATTTTTAGTCCTGTTGAAATGATTTAATTTGTTTAAGGAAATGAACCCAACGAGCAGCATTTTTCTACGACGACGATGTATTTGAATTGATGGCAGCGAGATGTTCATGTTTTGGTTTTTGTGAATGGGAACGTATAACCTGTGTGCGTAGTGACTCTTGAATAATTCATGTGGTTAAGCTGCCATTTTTGACGATTTGGATTGCAGCGGTAACCCGATATACATCTTTTATCTCATTTATCAGACGTTTTCAGTGATGTATCTCACCAAAGTTACTAGGTCGTCACCAAAGATTATGAACGTATCACCGCTGTTTTGGATTCCAACCCCAGGACATGCATACGACCCGACCAATAGCTGCTACCTTGACGTGGTGGTCGGGCTTGCATATCACAATGACCCAACGAGCTATGCTGGTGGAACGCTTGTTCCCTCGAGGTCCTACCATACCAGAAAGGTCTGTTGGGTAGTGGTTAGACGAAAAGCAGTTACCGTCATAGTGTAAATTGCTACACTATGATGGGGGTCTGAGGGCGAAGTCGTACTGCTGCTAGCTGGATGGGGTGTGACAGCAGTAAGGTGTTTCCCTTGGATGACCAGCAGTGCCAAGCTGATGCTGCCTTCTCAGTGGAAGGGGGGGTTAGAAAAGGTCGGCCCCAAAAATAACACACTCCACCACGCCCCACGGTCTGCCGGGCCGGCGGTGTTGGTTCACTTGTCGTTTCCTTTCGCTCATCCGGCCCCAAAAATACAAAAATTCAAAATAATCATACTCAAAAGGCTGGGTGTGACAGGCCTCAAGCAGATGTCCGATGGGCTCTGCGGTCACACAAATCTCTTTCAGGTACCTTAAGAAGAAATAGCCTTCCACGGTGTGGGCAGCCGGGAAGTGTCAACCGCCCTCACAACTCTGTCAGCACCCAAGTTTCTTCTGACTGCTATCCTCCTCCTCCATCATTACCTTCTAATCTTCCTTCACGTCTCTTAATTAATGATGCTGCATCATCTTCAATTTCTCCTACCTCTGCAGCCTTCGACAACGATCTGAGTCCACAGAACAGCATCCCTGGTCTCCTTAAACCACGCTCCAAATTACATATTGGAGCCTTCAATGTCCGCACCCTCCGTCAAATTGGCCAACAGGCTTCGTTGGCAAAGACTCTAGCAACTCGAGGCATGGATGTGTGCTGTGTTTGTGAGACACGCATACAGGACCCAAGTGTGGTTATTCACCTGACCTCTCCTGACCAATCTGGTGAATCTGCAAAATTCACCCTTCGAGTTTCTGGAGATTCGATAGCTAGCTCTCGTGGTCTTGCAGGTGTAGGTATAGCATTAAGCACCAGGGCAGAAAACTCACTACTAGACTGGATCCCAGTTGATAGTCGCCTCTGCGCTATGAGGCTGAACGGCACAGTGAGAACTAAAAGGAATAGTGAGACTCGCCGTTGTCTCTTTGTAATCTCTGCTTACGCACCCACTGACTGTAGTTCGGATGAAGTGAAGGACGAGTTCTACCATAAACTGTCTAACCTCCTCTCGAAAGCCAAACGTTCGGACGTAGTGGTTGTTGCAGGTGACCTCAACGCACAGGTGGGTAGACTGAGTGAGGCAGAAAGGCACTTAGGTGGCACTTTCGGAATCCCAGCTGAACGTACAGATAACGGTGATCGCCTATTACAACTATGCTCAGATAACCGCCTATTTTTAGCCAGCACAAATTTCAGACATAAAGAAAGGCACTGTCTGACCTGGCGTCCACCGAGCTCGACTCAGCGATGGACACAGATAGACCACATTGCTATTAGTCATCGCTGGAGAGGATCGGTGGAAGACTGCCGCTCCTTCTGGAGTACGTGTTTGGACAGCGATCATGCGTTGGTCCGAGCACGTATATGCCTGCGTCTCAATGGACGTAGAAAAAATTTGGCAACAAAACCACTACGAGTTCTGCTGGACAACGAAAACACCAAAGCCGTGTTCAGTGAGAAGTTGGCTAGGCAGTTATCGGAACAAAAGACTGTCACTCATCCAGAAGAAGCTTGGTGCCATCTTCAGTCTACTGTAAAAGCAGCACTGGAGACTGTAGCCGACTCCAAGATAATGGCTAAAAAGAGCCAGTGGATATCAGCAGCTTCTTCCAAACTAATGGATGCACGTGAATGCATCCCTGCAGGCTCTGAGTACAATGAAGAGCGAGCGCAACTTAAAAATAAACTGACGAAAAGTCTGCGCAACGATCGTGAACAGTGGTGGGCAGCAAAGGCTAAAGAGATGGAAAAGGCAGCGGCGATCGGTAACAGTAGACAGTTATTTAGACTTATTAAGGAGACTGGGGGGAAATGGTCAACAACAGTTAGTGAGGTTATAGCGGAGAAGGACGGATCGGCGATTCACTCGCAGGGAAGGCGACTGGGACGATGGGCAGAACACTTTGAGGAACAGTTTAACTGGCCTCCAGCCACCATT